TTTATGCAAGGAGTATGTGTAAATCAATTTACTGTGATACAAAATGTCAAGAACATGTGTTAAAAGATTATTGCTGTTTTGAACTTCAGAGATAGTGAAATCAGGGCCGAATCACTCGGTTTGCAAGTTGTGTGTTATAGTGATATTACACTAGGCTGTTGCTAATAACTCCTGATAACTTAGTAGATAGTTAGTGGATGGAATAAAGTACAATATTTCATAATTGTCTCAGACGTACTAATTATGATGCAATATGGTAGTGATGGATGGGATGTAGTAATTTATTGAGATTTGTTTCAAAGTGGGTTGTGAACACAATGTTGTGGTTTTGTGTAAATTACAATCTAAAATTTTCACATCACTCACAGAAGTCTGGTGTAATAGAGTTTTTCAAATCTGTAAGATAAGTAGATGAAATTTAACTGAAAGTAGATAATATGTGAAGGTATGTGTACATTTTAAGTTGAGTAAAATCTATGAAGATATTGTGGAAGATGAAACGGACATTATCAGTTTGGTGGGTCAACACTATTTGCTTTTCATGAAGTAGAAAATTCATGATGTATTGGAGTTTCCACTTCTTGTTTGTAGATGAAATTGGCTTATCCATTGAGTCGTTTGATTGAAAAGTAAACACATTTTGCATTCAAAAATGTGAGAGATATTTATTTCAAATTACCAAGGCTTACCCGTATAATTATTCATAATAGAATTGAACTGTTCACTTTCCAGTTTCCAGGTTTCTTTAGCAGCTTCAGTGAGTATCAACAGAAAGGGTAAGAGGTTGGATAAATTCTACTGAAAAACCCTCATATGTCCATTTTTACTTATTTAAACAAGAACCACTCTCTGAATTGACAAGCTCTCCATACTTCTTTAGACGACCTCTGTTTGATCTGAAGGCATTGTATTCAGACTGTAGGATGAAATGTCTACATTCTTTGCCAATGATTAACAGCGTGCACACAGGAAGCACGAGACCCCATATTCATATGTACGTAAAATTACTCGCTTTTGTGTATCCGGAAACTTGAGAAATGAATGTAGGAGTTGTGTTCTCCGACAGTTCAGATTTCGACGAATTCGGAAACGAGATTTCAAATAGCCACATGATCAAACCCATCGAGGTTGTTCAAAGTTTTTGGAACATCAGTAAATGTGCGGCATTAATGTAGACAGTACGGTTTGAAGGACATATTTTATATCGGAAAATGTCCACTAACGATCAGTTGATAAATTTACAAATGCACATCAAAGATAGATGGATGTGATGACGTTTCCAACTAAGTTTAGGGGCCAAGATTAGCAACGGATTGAAAATTAGTCTAGGCATGTCAATGACAAAACGTTGAAACATACCGTTGAGATAATTGAGTGCCCACTTCACTTGGTGTTCTTTCTCCGACTCGCGAAGCACTACACAAATAAGTATGAATAGTAAACATAGATGATGTGTGACCTTCTATTTCCTCGTGGTAATAGGCAGGACATGTGCTTCATTTTAATACAAACCCTTACTAGTTTACAATTAGTTGTATTGCAAATTGAACCATCACGAACTCATTTATATACAAGCGTCGTTATCAATCCATTTCACATACTTTCCTCGGTGTTCAGTTTGATATTGACTAAATACAGCAAAACTCTCAACAACTCCATGTGGAATTATTGATTACTGTCAATACAGTAGACAAGCAGATAAGATTCTGCTTTACATGACACTATGAAAACCGAGTAGTTTTTTTCATCTGATGTCAATGCATAAGAATACATACATACTTACTGATACCACATTCTTCCTTTGTGAAATTCATATCAGGTCCCAGTGCCATAATGAGAAGTTTATCTAGACAACCGAAAAGACAATACCTGACATGATGCTCTCATGTACAACTAGCAAGTAATAACTATTTCTAAATACATCCACTCAAATGCTAGTTGGAGTAACAATAAGGGTAAATAATATTCGCTTACAATTATTATGTATTTTTGCTACATATTGTTCCCCATATTCCGATATAGTGGCATTCATGATACCTAAAAGATAATGGAACATGTAGAGCATCAATATTGTTCAATATATGCTCCAACACCAGTGAGGCAGCTTAAAGATGAGATACAAACACTGAATGAGTTTAGAATTGAAAGAAAACATCACTCCATCCACAAAGGGTACTTTCTTTCTGTCTGGGTTCTCATCACTAATTGCGATGTATATGTTGGAAAGTAGTCTAATTAACAATTGTGACAGTTAATGTTCCTGAGATTGTACGTTCCCAATTCATTCTACACTTCACCATGTTGGACGGTGTTCCTGATCAAACTGAGAAAAACACAGTGGAAATAAGTGCGGGTGTGATGGTCCGTAATGAGGAAGCTACATGGATTGAACATTGTGTTAGTTGCAGACTTGGATTTATTTCTTAGTAGACATATTCAAGAAGCTGCTGGTGCCTTCTGATTCTTACGTGTGACAATTTACAACTTTAACATTACAGTATGAACAAGAGACTTACTTTTGGTAGAAGACTGAGCTTCGCAGATGAGACCACTTACTAAATCACATAAATGAGTGCATGGAATTAAACGTTGGTATTTGTATTTACACGAAAAATAATCAAACTTGTTTCACAATGATCTGGATTGTGAACATGGTACAAAATCATATCGTCAACTGGACATGGTAACCAGGCGAAGAACTTCCTGTTCGACCAGTATATATCTATACCCATGTTCTCCTAAACAAGAAACTAGTATGGAATGTTTCACTGAAATTGTTCTAAATCTGACCTATCTATCTGTGAATTTTCTTCGCTCAACAAGCCAAACAGTTATCCACCGTCCACAACCAAGCTAAACGCAATATCCACTTACAACAAGAAATCGTTCACACAAAGTCTACGTAGTTTTGCTTGTTATGAAAATGATGATGACGACCATAATGCCACTGTACACGGAATATCTGAAACTCTAAGACGTTTTACTAGCTGATATTTGAATAAGTGTTGGAGTATAATCTGGGACAAAATGATACGTTTGTATGGACAAGTTGCAAATCAACATGTAACACTGGTCCAGATTGCCTCGTCAACTACCTCCAACAAATTGAGAAAACAATTCTAATAAATGGGTAACACTTGAAGTAACCCAAACCTTATTGAAATTATCAATCATCTATAATCGTGGATTTTCGGTACCAGACTAAATCGGAACACGCGCAAAGCTAGTGAATTAAGTATCGCCCCCCCCCAACCATTTTTCTTGTGTTGATAACATTTAACCGATATATATTAACATTATTAAATGTACTTACTAACCCTATTATCGTTCATATATTGTTTATTTCACCACAAAGTAACCAAAACACGTTACGTGTAAAGTGATTAAAGATTACCCACAAATGTACTCACGTGAAATCAGTAAAGTGATCCCGTTTATTAGAAGGTTGTATTTCTGCAACATATTACTTCTAAACTCAATTTTTCTGATGAACATGTTTGTTTGAACGTTTGTCTATATACTGTTTTGGTGGGAAACCAAACACAGTGAACTGAAACATTCTCATAAGCACTTTCAATTTGCTTACAAGACTGTGATTGAGTTCTCATGATATGAAACACTGATGAGAAGTGCACTCATGAAATTGAGGACACTGAATACAGTGCTAATGATTATATTCTCATCACGATGTGATTTTCGATGTGACGCAAGTTTAACTGATATTTCTCATATCCGTATTAAATTTGTGGTGAGAGAATTTTGTTCACCACTCTTTCAACTTTCCACTTGATGTAAGTAGATTCTCGTCAATTACAGATTAATGCAAACTGTACTCATAGAACTGAGGACAGTGAATGTGATCGTGCTGTTTGATGAATTTGTAAAATTTTCTCTCAAGAGAATTTCATGTTCAATTGAACAGTTTTTTAAAACTCTCCAAATGTACTATATACAGACTGTTAAAGCACCAAAATGATGAATTTCAATGTATGAGTGATTGGGATTATTACGGTACGAATGCGAGGTGCTAAATCACAAGTATTTCACAGTAATTCGTGAGCACATATATATACACCAACTAAAAATGCCTCGACTGAATAATAAGAAAATGCCATAACGTGGTGCATGTGCAGAAAGCAATAGTGTCGAATGTGTCATTTTTATACAATTGAAAATGATTTGATGGGCCTTGGGTATCTGACTCCAGTTAGATTGGTTTATGAAGCAATGAATGGTTGTTCATTAACTATGCATTTCAGAATCTGGTATAAATTTGCATTATCATGAAATACCGGAACGCATCCACACGTATCGTGGTCCAGCTTCAATTCACTCATGATCTCAACTATTAAAATTACTATTATATTCACAAAACCGCTTGTTATATTACAACTATATTGTTTTATTTATGACAATCCACACAATGCTCAATTTATTCGGAATTATCAAGTCAAACCTTGGTCATGATACTCACTATGGTTTTATTTAGAGCAGTTGGAAATTATTTCATATTAAGGAATACGTGTTCAAGCTTACCCAACTTAGCTATCAGCAAGATTTACCCATTTATAAAATGTATTGTCAATAGTAATTCCAAGTTTTTACATCAAGCTGTCACTCACGTTTTGGAAACTAAGTAAACGCTTGGAATAATTTGTGACTTATTTCTGTTGTTGCTATTCCATTCTTATAACTGCGTCACAGGTGAAACATGGAAAACGCATCCTATTGAGGTTTTTCGGAAGAGATTAAGCTCTAACATCAGAAAAACTAAGACGACTTCAAAGTCAGTCAGGTAAGTTTTGTTATTGTCTACAAAAACTGTTTATTAACAACACGTTTTAGGTCGCATAAGAACGAATAAAGACGCAAACAGACAACAGCATCTACTAGGGAAATACGGAGTTGGGGTATTTAGATGTTCTGAGATTGCTATGTAGCTGACTTAACCCTGTTAAATTCACTTAGATATCCATATTTTATATTTTCTCTAAAATTAGGGAGTTTTATCGACGACAAGCTGAACATATTCGTGAATTGGAGAAGATCGCATCTATTACGGAGGCAGAAACCTCCGATGTAGAAGTAACCTCCAATCATCATTCTATTAGGCAGCAAACGCGAATTAATGCAACGGTTATCAGTGTTGTATTTTGTGCTAACGTGGTAAGTATAAAATCACTAATAATTAGTTTATGTACATTACTAAAACGCAAAGGAAGGAAATTTCATTCTAATGCAGAATGAACTATCCTTGGTAAATTCTAATAAGTTATTAATGCTCAGCGTTTACATGTTTTCATCTAGCTATTGTAACATAGGAAAATTATTTAGAATATATGATAAGTTTACAAACTAGTACTGTGCTGAGAATTCTATATTGTACCAAAATATAATATTGAATAAAGCCATTAATAATAATAAATAAAAAAATAAAAGTAAGTAATCAGACATCTGGTGTTTCGATTGATCTTAGTTCATCATCTGCAGATTTTGCATCTGCTTTATTACTTTCGCTCTAAGCAATACCCGTTTAATTGACGACTAATGATTTCAAATAACCAGTCATTCACAACGAACGCAAAATGTTAATTTCTTGTAATATAAGTTTAGTGGTTTACGGATCGTAAACATCAAATCGTTTTTTTCCATTGCATAAGGCTGATATAATTATCAGATGACTAAGATTAAAAAAATCATTTGTTACCAAAGTGCCGTGTAAATTTGTTACAATTTCAGTGAATATAGGGAGGTTAAGTTTACTGGTGTCTTGGATTAATCAACCAATTTTCTATGAGTTCATCCTCTTCAAAATAACGAACTAGTAAAAGCTCTTTTCTAATTCTTTACGCTAGACGTTTGGTTTTACTTTGATATAATTCCTACACTAATTTATTCTCCTTAAATTTTATGAATGTGACACTTCTTTCACCATGAAATCAATTTACATTTTATTCAGTGAAATTTTAAATGAAAAATATAATTTTCTAATAGTGTTATTATTTGTCTAACGATTTTACATTGTATGTATAAAAATAACTTGATAACTTTTGATTATCATATTGCCCATTTGGAATTACATCAATATAGGTACATTTATTGGGTAAAGCTGTAGCATCTGCATTATCAGGTTCATCAGCAATCATATCATCTTTGTTAGATAGTTGCGTCGATTTGACTTCCGGTGGTATCATGTGGTTTGCTGCTCGTCAAATGCGTAAAAGGAAGCCATACAAATACCCAGAAGGTAATTTGGTTTAAAAATATGAAGAAAGAATAAGTAACATATCATAGTAATTTGCTTCTAAATTGCTTAAGAAAAAGTGTACATCTTTCGGTAACTAGTTACCAAAGTTTAACAAAATGTAAAATCAAGTTATGAGTCCAGTCACCAAGAAGTTATAAACAGTGACATCCGATAACAAAAATTATCGCAGTCACATTGAAGTGAACGAGAACTCAGGTGAGGTACACCAATTGATTGTCTAATGCAAACTTACAAAGTGCCTTCGAATAATATGAAAACGATACATTGAATACATTATTTGCACCTTTTCCAGTTGTTCTTGCTGTTTTCTTTAATTTAATCTCCTCAACCCGTTGCTGGCAGCTATCTCATTACCGATTGCTCCTACATGCTACTTGTACCAGTAAGCGTAAGTAACATGCATCACAGCATGTTGGTAATCATATGTTCTCTCTATTCAACGTTGATAATGATAGGGTATGTGGCTAAATTGCCAGTCTTAGGTATTTGACTGCATGAGCTCTTAAATGGTTGAAAGTGAATTATCATCATCATCATTCAGCTATGTTGTTAAACCAGATGAATGTAGTAATTACTAATTTCTAAGATACTTATTATTCATGCTTTACAGTTATTAAATTTACCGAAATATTTATCAATCATTTTCATTCTAATGTTAGGGTTTCGAAAACCATATAAATGTGAAAGAGGAATAACGTCTCTAAAATGCTGTTATTTTATTTCCTTCTTAGAGAGAACACGACTTGAACCATTAGCAGCGATTGTACTCTCTATATTTATGGCTAGTATATTTATACAACTTCTAGCTGAATCTGTACAAGCCATTGTTCGTATGTCACAAAATAATCAAGAGGCACCAAACGTTAGTGATTTAGCATTGGGAATAATTGGCATCCGTAATTGGTAAGAATTATATTTAATGTTCATAAATTGTTTTCAAACTTCATTTGAAAAGCTGTGACCTAGACCCACAAGATACTTGTTGACTAGTAGTCAATACTTCATTCACTTTACCTATTCTCAATTTAATTGTCTTATATAGCATAAGAAATATAATCAGAGAGTTGAACGTATCCACTAAGTCTCTTTTGTCATATTTTTTGAAGTTACTATGTCATATCATTTTTTCTTCCCTACTAATAATAATAATTCCCATTTGTTACTTGTGGTCATATACACTATTCCTCTGTCGATTGAGCTTATACGAATTTACAAAATATTGTAGTTAGTTTTCTGTGTTAAATTGAATTATTATAGGAATGTTGTGCACAAAATCACATCCATAAAACACTTTGTCTATAAAAGTTAGTGACTATGCGAACTATTTAAAATGCATGAGATGTAATGAATTTTCACTGTGTCATTGAAGAAGAAATATAGCCAATGTATCAAAGTAACTCTGTTTTGTGGCGATATTACTTACTGAAGCTGTGTAATCATATTTGTAGTTCATCAGTAAATTATATTAGTATACTTCGTTCACAAAGAGAGCTCTTTATAATTTCATTTTCGAGCATTATTCTGGTCGGTTATCAAAGGGACTATTCCGAATTACTAATGAGCTATTATCAAATGTAATTATTCTGGTTTTCATATTCATCAAATGCAGAGTCATCTCACTCCAATAAAATATTCTTATGTTGACATTTTTCATTAGCCGTTACATCGTTGCACAACATCACTTTTGTATTTAATGTTTATTAACAATTTATCACTCAATACTACTCAATGTTTACAATTATTTTATATTCTTCAAGTTAACAATTATCTTTTATCAGTAATCTATTTTTACTTTGATCTGTTACATACTTTTTTTATACTTCAGAAAACCATATATACATAGCTTACAAAATATTCAAGTAATCAGGAATCAAGTGTAATTATGGATGGTCAACGTGTGCGTATGAACAAATATTAAGGGACGAAAATACCCTCTGAAAACAATTTATAAACAACATCTCAAATAATTTAACATCAAATATCCATCCACCACATGTATCATGATTTTCGGTATCGACCTGATCATGTCTGTAAATGACTACGGATTCTGTGGAGATTTTCAAAATGTATTACATTTAAGTAGAATGAATGTATACAAGCGAACACAATATGCCAACAAGTGTTTATAGAATTGGTATTTTATATCTATTTAAGGACTTTTGGATTTTGCTTGAGGGTCGACTTGACGTTTCGACTTCCAGAAGAAAGCGGATTGTTTTCCTAAAACTAATGTCAATAATGCTAGCCTATGAGTCAGATTTACGAGGCAGCAAGGATACGGTGAAAATTTCCTTTCTATAGTAGGTGGTGATTAAGGTAGATTTAGAGTCATATTATTCTTTTTATTTTATAAAGCCCATGTGGACTGTTGGTTCAAAAATGATTCTCTTCTGTTTACCAGCCTAGGACATTTAGCCAAATGTCAAGTTGAGGGCTAAGAACAATTAATCATTTTCCATCTGGAAAACGTGTTGAAATTAACCAAGTTGTGATCAGTTTACAATATACCTTATTAGACCCGTGGAATAGGTGGACAACCGTAAGAATATAGTGTTGTACATACCAAGCCAGTAGCTCGTTTCATCAGCTATGACGCTTTATTGATGTTGTTGTACGAGGTCTTTTCACTCGTATGCCTTCTCTGTCATTCCTAACTACGTCTTCTTGTTTCGTCTAGACATGTCCCAAGAATTTTGTGTTCAAATGTAGGTTGCATATAGCTAATCCACGTTTTTAATCATGAGTCTTAGTTATTGTTCGAGAGTAAGGTAGATATTATCCGAGTTTTCGAAATGAAGCAAATTAGGTAGTATAGCTATTCTTATCAATTGATTGAGCATAATACCGTGCTTCAACCCATTGATCTTGCAGGCGATGTGGATAGTTATTTTGAGCTTTATTGATCATTACCAATTTTATGTAGATTTCGGAGAAACAACCTACAATTATTATTATTGTTATTAATATTATTATTATTATTATTAATAATTAATGGCTTCATTCAATATTATATTTTGGTACAATATTGAATTTTCAGCATAGGGTATTTCAACAAGTTTCTTGTACAAAAAATGGAAAAAAGGCGAAAAAGCTTAAAAATAATCTGAAAAACTGTACAACTTTTCAAATTAGAGACATGTTAAGCATGCAGGTTATTGACTAGGTTAACTCTAACAATCTGTTCGTCACAGAGTATGTTTGCTTGGTAAGGTATTACAGAAATTTTATATTGTTGCTTGCGTGCTTGGATCACAGGAATTGTTTTGCTCAAATGTGTATGAGAAATCTATCAACTTAAAGATTGCTCCTATCACTAAATAACGTTAGCTGAAAAACTAATATAGAGTATGAAAAGGTTAACAGTCACTAAGACCTAGTTTTGAGATTTTCATCATTTATAAACTTCTCACTCAACTTTCGCGAATCCATCACAAAAGTCAAAATCAAGTGCATTAGTGATCTGTTGTAATTTCAATTCAATTCAGTTGGTTGATTTCTTTCTGTATTACAAAATATGTGGGTAGTAACCAACAAACATAGAATAATTTTGATTGAAACCCTAAATGGATCAATGTCAGACGACCATTGCAGTGCCGAGGAGTCTCGTACTTGGACGAAACGGCCATCCAGTGCCTCTAGGGTTTCAATGGTGGTCTAACATTGATCCATTCATGATTTCAATCAAAACTCAACAATCTCCAAAACCGTATACTGATAAAATAATTTTGGTGGTTTATTTTAGCCAAATATAAATCGTTTCAGATTACTAGTTATTCGATGTCACAATACATTAAATACTCACTATAGTATTTTAAATAAAGTGTAATTGAATGTGTGTTCATTTCATGTACTGTTCTATAATCGAATTTGACCTTCGACTCCTCGTTTGAATAAATGACAAAATGCAATGTCTGCATTAACCATTTAAACACGTCTTCATAGTTGACCTTATATAACTAAAATTAGAATGAATTGGTTTTATATTTTGGAAGCTATACAGTGTTCTTAAGAAATAATGATGCTTATTTTGCGTGCACATGACTTAATACTTTTATAAGAACAACATGAAAATCAGTTCTCAGTATATGAACTGAAGAAACCGGTTGTCTGAATAATAAGTTCACAAATAAATGACTCATTTTATATACATTTAACTAGCCGAATCACTCAACTCTGGTAACTATTTGGATGGGGTCGTTAACCGCATGCCCAACCCTTCTCCTTCACCCGGGCTTGGGACCGGCAATAACTCTAGAAGAGCTACAGGCGGAGTTGGTATATTATTATGCTGAATGTATCCATGAACAAAATGTCAATAATGATGTTTATACCTTATATGAAATGGAATATTATTAAATTGATATGAACTGGATTTATGTAAGCTGCTTTATCAACTCTATACGAGTGGAAATAATTAAGATTTGTTCGGCGAAAACTATCATCAATAAGAAAACTCATGTGTGACCTCTGTTTTTCTATTTATCAGTAAGAACACTGTAACTACGATCTAGGTGAGTTGATTAGACGCAGAAAAACAATGTTAGTGAACAAGTTGAGTTACATTGGTTTAATGGAGACAATCAGTAATATAACCAATTGTAACAGTGATTGTTTTACTGTACATGTTTGTTTAACTGTACAAAGTGCAAATGTAGGAATTTTTATTGGCATCAACACATCTTCACCATTATTGGTTTGTAAAACCATGAATGTCTATCTTATTCTACCTCAAATACCTAAATGGTGTATGTTAGTAGTTTGATTATTTAGTTCTAGAATAACAATTTAATAATATGATTAAGGCTTTATTATTTGATATAATTTTCTCATCTGAACTGGAAATTGTACAGATTATGTTTGAGAAATACACTGACGCATTTTATAAGATTTGAAGTTCTTTAAATCTTATTGGTAGAATAATACATATGCAACTTCTTAGTGTATAAAACTACATTTCATCCTAGCTATTTCGATAGATAATAATGTTTAAAAATCTCCGTCAAATTATATCACTAATGTATGAACGAAGAATATTCTCTTCAGTTATTATTCATTTTGTAGGTGTCAATGCCAAAATGAGACTTGATATCTTTAAATCAATAGATGATTGAGTAGGAAGTTAGTAAAAAGCACACGTTTTTCTGATATCCCAATAAGTAGAAAATTGTATTTCTAGTGTATTATTTGAACTTGTGTTAATTTATTATGGGTTATTTATTTACGAATTGGAATTTTCAGATCATGGCAGCTAGTATGACAGTAGCTTCTGAACCACTAGGCCCCAACATACATTAAAGAAATAGCAAGATCCTCAAATACAACACGGAAAACACCAACTCAATCACACTTGATGGAGAAACCTTGGAAGAGGTGGAACGTTTCACGTATCTGGATGGCATCATCGATGAACATGGAGGATGTGATGTAGATGTGAATGTGAGGATCGTCAAGGGAAGGAAAGCGTTTCTACAAATCGAGGACATCTGCAACTCGAAACAACTGTCAACCAATGACAGTCTTCAGTCCTCAGTGAATCAAGGCAGTTTATCAGTCAATCATTGCACTGAAGTAGATTACAAAATCACAAATGATAACTGTGATGTATAAATTAATGGTAGGATAATAGGCCACATGAAAGCATACGTTATTACATTTTGCCATACATGACTGAATGTTGTCTTAGATATTCAGGAAGAATTATGTAAGATAAATGACCAAAGCGATAGTAATCTCCCTCACTGCAACAGCAGTAACTTCAGAATACTTGTATTGAAGAGTAGTGATACTCCGTCCATATCGAACTCTCCGAGAGCTTCCAGAACCTCACTCATCATTACTGATGCCGATTGCTCGTGCAGTGTTTCTACAGAAGTCCAGAAAATGAAGGTTACCTGAAACTGTCTTCAA